CCGTAAATTTGACAAAACATGCATTCAAATAAGGCACTTTATTAGAAACCCCCCCCTTCCAAGGCTCGCAATGGCACATGTTTTCCACGCCCCTGAACTTACATTAAGATACTAATGACCCACCCGCTTCTACACCTCACATTTATTTCACCAACCCTTTCAAAAATAAAATAATAGTAAATAAATGAAATATAACGCACCAAACGCACTTTTGATACTTCTTTGTTAAATATCTTATTTAGCGCAGTTATCGGGAATTTCCCTTCCCGTTCCCTTTGAAAAACGGAACAAATTCTGATTTTTTGGTGTTGGGGGTTTGGAGTGGGGCTGAAAATTTGAAAGAATCTATTGCATCGGCAACGAAACCATGTGCCGAGATTCAGCGTGATAGGTTGACTGGAAGTGGGTTAATTGGCCGTCCGAAGGTTTTTGCCACCCAGCCAGCCACAAACAAAATCGAGGTTAAAATAATGGATTTAATAAATAAGTTATACTAAGAACAGAAATATTGCGCAATGAATTTATGATTGTCTCAAATTTGATAAAAGGGACATGGCAAGTGTTTCATTCCGTTAAGTAATGTTACTGACATGTCTATAGGTGTTTTATTGTTTTCTTTTCTTAGGCTGGATCGAGCCGCTCCTTGAGCCCATCCACAACGACACCAGGACCGTCACCTTCCCCACCATAGAATACATCAACCCGCGATCGTTCTCCGTGGGGATGAGCAAAGCGGCGAGGTTGGTTGGTGGGCTGACCTTGAACTCCTTGACCTTTAACTGGCTCTACGACCGAAAGTTGAATGGAACATTTCAGGGTAACAATTGGCCGTAAGTTGATAGCTCCCATACCACCCAAATAGATTTCTTCATGTAAGTTGATAGCTTGCTTATCGCCCAAGTGGATTTCTTCATGTAAGTTGATAGCTTCCTTATCACCCAAGTGGATTTCTTCATGTAAGTTGATAGCTTCCTTATCACCCAAAAGGATTTCTTCATGTAAGTTGATAGCTTCCTCTACCCTCCAAATTGGTTTCTTTATGTGTTGACAAAAGGAAAGACCACGCTATACTTGATTTGTTGTTTTTTATTTTTTTTATTTTTTTAGCATTTTAATCATTTATAGCAGGCCTGCACAACATACGGCCCGCGGGCCAGCACCCCCTTTGTGGCCCGCGAGGTAACGAAAATTTCTTTATTCTTATTATTTTCTTAATAGCTTTCCCCCTGACCTATTTTCTTTTGACCCGCACAAGTTTTTCATAATGTATTACTCCCCGCCTTACATTTTGAGTTGTGCAGGCCTGATTTATAGGGAGAAAAAAAGAGAAAAAGAGTTCGCTCTTATACATCTTTGATAACAGAACTGAGTTATTTTTAACATGCTCAGCTCTTTTGATTACATAACATAAAAAAAGAGTTTAAAAGAAAATACATTTACTACACATTCGCATGGAGGAGACGTTAATCCATCATTAATTTCGCCATCCTATTAAACCGTTGGCTAGTTTTATAGTCTTGACACAATATCCTAGGGTCAGCGTTTCTTAAACCGTGAACGATATAGAGCAGTAAATGGTACAGTAGTTAGTTTCAGAAGTACAGATCAATGTAGCAACACAAACTTTTACAGAAAAAAAAACTTTTGTTTACAGACTGCAGGCTGCTGCAAAAGCCCGACTTATCAAAATACACACCGCAGTTTCATTACATTTATGACCATATTTTTAAGGGGGTACACTGGGTGCACCATTTCAAAAAAAAAGCTTTAGAACCATTGTTCGAGGTCTTTGTCCGGATCACTGACCCTTGGACGGACCCTACTTGGGACTGTGGGGCTCTAAAGCTAACGATAAAACCATCTCCATGGCAACCCGTATCAACATAACCATCTCCATGCTCCTCACGTCCGCAGGTCACCCACAATGCCCGGAGGTCTCTACGCCGTGTCACGTGACTGGTTCGCCAAGTTGGGCAAATACGACGACGGCCTTGACTTCTGGGGAGGAGAAAATCTGGAAATGTCTTTCAAGGTCATGAATGACCTGTTCATTTTTTTTTTTTAATGATTGTATTCAAAATTTGATATTTTGTCAAATTTGTGTTTTTAAAATAAAATAATAAACAGGAGTCTGTCACAAACTTGAGCGAAAGATTGTACCCTCAAGACTTGGTGACATGTTATTTCTATAGCTCGATAAAGTTCTGGAAATTGTTCGGTGCCGGTTGTTCTGAAGTTCACGGCCACAAAATTAAATCATTATATATTAGGGGGAATTAAAATAAAGCATTTTGTACGGTTACAATTTAAGTGGTCTCATCTAATTAACAGCTAAACTCTTTAAATTGTGTGTAGTAATTATAAAATATTACTTTATAAATTTGAGAACCATCGGACCAGCATCGAAACCGAAAAAAATAGAGAGAGAAGTCACGAAAAACGTAGAATATTACGAATATTTAGTGTTAGTGAATATACGTTTGAAAAGACATAATCTTTACTTATAATTAAAGACCTCACAAACGGTCCACACTCTTTCAGACGTGGATGTGTGGTGGATCCATTCTGCTCATCTCCTGCTCGCACGTGGGTCACATATTCCGCACCAAGAACCCGACCCTGGTCGGGATCAACCTCAACTACAAGAACGCCGTGAGGGTGGCCGAAGTGTGGATGGACCAGTACAAGCACTTCTTCTACGAGAGACTGGCCTACAACCTTGTACGTAAGCATGGATTGGTAGATTGTCTACGAGCTTGCTGGTAGTCCGTCTTCTTTCTCGAAGATTTTTTTTTTACTTTGTGTGTAGCCACGTCGTCTTTCATCAGCTTTGAGTTGTTTTGCCTTTTATATTGTTGGGTTGTTGTTGTTGTTGTTGTTAATGTTGTTTTGACGAATCACAGCACGTGCAACCAGACGACTGCGTCTCTTTGTGTCACGTGATGTTTCTCAACAAACTGTAGGCGCAACAATGAAGCCGGATTACCATAGCGATCGACAGGCCATCAAATAAGCATTGTGTTTTGACTTCAATGTAATACTTAGAGGTAAAAACAGACATGAGTTGGAACTTGTGACCTTTCAGTGTGATCCTAAAGGAGAAACGTTCGTAAAATAAAAAAAATATATCCTCGATGCCCATCTGTTCTGGTTCGTAATGTGATTGATAGACATTAAAACGATCACGCACGTGCCAATTACCGGTAACATTGAGCCAGGCATTGAGCGTATTTATTGATGCAATGAATTTAATATCCGCTTGATGCACGACTTGTCGATATTTCAATAGTAACTGAGACCAATTCATAAAGAGGCCGCTAGAGCATATTATATGTCAATGACAACCTCATAAAGAGGCATATGTCACCCATAGAGGAGACCGAACTGATCTCTCTGCACCAGTCGCGTGTGACCTCTGGCGACAATTATTTTACATCGTGAGGCTTCGCTTTTATTGCTAAATATGGAAGTGAAAGTTGAAGTGAATGTTGAGGTCATAGTTGAAGTGAAGGTTGAAGTGAAGGTTGAAGTGAAGGTTGAAGTGAAGGTTGAAGTGAAGGTTGAAGTGAAGGTTGAAGTGAAGGTTGAAGTGAAGGTTGAAGTGAAGGTTGAAGTGAAGGTTGAAGTGATAGTTGAAGTGAAGGTTGAAGTGCATGTTGAAGTGAAGTTTGAGATGAAGGTTGAGTTGATAGTGGAAGTGAAGGTTGAAGTGAAGGTTGAAGTGATAGTTGAAGTGAAGGTTGAAGAAAAGGGTGAAGTGAAGGTTGACATGAAGTTTGAGGTGAAGGTTGGGTTGATAGCTGAAGTGAAGGTTAAAGTGAAGTTTGAAGTGAAGATGAAGTGAATGTTGAGGTGATAGTCGAAGTAAAGGCTGGAAGTGAACGTTGAAGTGAAGGTTGAAGTGAAGGCTGAAGTGAAGGCTGAAGTGAAGTTGCGGTGAAGGTTGAGATGATAGTTGAGGTGATATTTGAAGTGAAGGTTGAAATGAAGGTTGAAGTGATAGTTTAAGTTAAGTTTAAGTTAAGGTTAAAGTAAAGGTTGAAGAGGTTAAAGATGTGTGTGGCGGCTAAAAAAAACCAGATACAATCAATACATCTGCTGGATGTTGAGGACATATGTATTAAAAAGCTTTAGAACAAACGAGGCTATTGCTCTTATTTTCATATTTTCTTGACAAAATGAAAACGTATCAAACTAGAAATAACCACCGAACAATGGCGGAGGCAATGCGTGAATTTTCCATCTCCTAAAGTTACTTGACAAAACATGCATTGAAGTAATGCACTTTATAAGCATCCCAATCAGTACTAACTTCTTAGAATTTTATTTAGCGCGCCACTATTGAACACAGCTTGACAGCCACACATACGTGCCAAGAGAAAAATGTATAAAATAAGGTGACCACTATCAATGTACATGAAAAATAGGAATGCAATTTGAACTGTCACACAGATATTACAGAGAAAATAAGCATTTATTGCAGATCAAACCATTTTAGTGGTTCTAGTGTTATATGGAGAGGTCTCTGTTCAGGTTGTAGCAAACAAAAAAATATTCACTTTTTCGCATTGTCTTTCTTCAGGTGTTTCGCTACATGGTGTATATTTCTTACTTACTAATTCGTGTGTGTTTTATTATTATATGACTCGAGAAGGGTGTGTTGGGGGGGGGGGCCTGGTGTTTGTGTGAAGATTAGAAAACCCTTCTATAATTTGAAAAAATATGTACGCACAAGCAAGATGTCCACTTTAAAAATAAGAGCATCGTTCTTAAATTTTAAACCACAACAAGCTATTGCCTCTTACCATCTCTGCTCTCTCTTTCATCGCTGGCACTCCATCGTGCCAAATGGTGCGAACCGTGGAATTTAAACTGGACATAATGCCAGACACTCTAACTTGTTCTGAGAATAGTGTGATTTGATGTAATACTTGATTTTTGAAGAAAAAAAAGTGCTACTTTAGTTGTTTTTAAAGTGCTACTTTAGTTGTTGTTTTTTAAAGTGCTACTTTAGTTGTTGTTTTTTAAAGTGCTACTTTAGTTGGGTTTTTTTTAAGTGCTACTTAAGGTTTCTTTTTTTTAAGTTCTTTTAAAGTGATAAAACGTGTTAACATCACTATTGTTGTGAGCTTTCATTTCACTATCATGTAATGTAATACCTTCTGACATCGATACTCAATGCACTGTCCCAATATTCGTGAGTTTAACTTTCGTAATTGACTTCTGAGAATTCGAATTTAGATGGGATTTGGGTGCGCTCTATTCCAGCCAAACTACGGTGACGTCAGCGACAGACGTCGTCTGAGAAAGTCCCTGGAGTGCCAAAGTTTCGCGTGGTACCTGATGAACGTCTTCCCCGAACTTAAGCAGGATATGGACGTCACGAGCATCTACTCTGGCGAGGTAGCCGATGTGGTATTCTTGTTACATTTAGTACAGAACAAAACACACACAAAAACTACAGCAACAAAAGTAACACAATAATTGCTCACTATCTTTGAATAAATTAAGTGCAAGCTCAATTAATTATGGTGTACTAAAATTATGTTTTTCTTGTATTTGCGTGTTACGTTTTTTAGAGAGTATTTTTGTTAGTAACAGTGATGCTGACACATTTCAGTGACAGTGTGTCCTAAATGACACGGTGATATAACAATACCAGGTGTTTCAAATACACTGATTGCATCCAAATGATTTTTTTTATTGATTTTTTTTTTATATATTTAAAAAAAAATGTAATTGTTTGGAAAACACTTTCATGACATGTAATACTTTAATGACAGAATCTAATTGAGTTATTTGTTAGTAAAGCCCATGGGGCAATTTCTCTGCGCCCATTGTGGCAAGACTTTACTCCTCAAAACGTATGTTTACATTTATATAATGTCACAGGCAGGATGGCATTCAGAAATACAAAAATCACCCAAAGTGTGTTACTTTGTGTTACCACCAATGTTTAATCGTCATGATACTTTAACAGCCCCCCACCCCCCAAAAAAATTCCTTATTTATAAGTTCTACAATGCTCTTAAACAGATTCGGAGTCTTTCTGAAAACTTGTGCATAGATCGTCAGGAGGAGGGCCGTGTTGCGATTGCGTCATGTCGAGACACTTATTTCCAGGTTGGTGACGTTGCCAAATTTTCGAATACTTCCAAAACTATTGACTCTTATTTGATAAATATTCTTATAATTTGTCTGTCTTATTTTAAAACTAGGCTTTAATTAGTGTTAAATGCCTTGTACGTGAAATTTTCTAATTTATAGTCATTTCAATTTCTAAAATTTGTTAAGGGTGATTTTACCGTGGCAGAAGATAAAAAATTGACAGAATTATTTAAATCAAATATCGTAAGATATTCGCACGTAGATTTTTTAAACCTCTGAAATGCCAAATTTAATATTTACTTATGTGTATTTTACTTTCCACGTCAGTCTCAAATTTTGATTAATATTTTTTTTAAGACACATTGCTATAAAATCTATAAACTCCCCGAATTCACTAAACTGATCAAAAATTTGTTGTCATCGTTGCGTCATCCCAGCAATGGCAGCTGACCTCCCAGGGAAAACTCGTCTCAGGGGAGAGGGTCATGGGGATTAAAACAGAACTCTTCCGCGGTGTGGAGAAGAAAACGATTGGCACATTTCATCTAGGACGAACATTAGGAACTATTGATATACTGTGGCGATACGATGAGGTCAGTAGTTTGTGTTTACCTACTACGATCCTTTAAATATAATCATTGTGTATCTGATCATTTAGGCTGGTGTCAAAATACTGGGTTCAAGGTCGCAACCCCTCCAAATATTTCTGACACGGTTGTCTAAACTAGGGTGACCAAACGATGAACTGGAAGAACCGGGACACACCCAAGGAGGGTTTGGGAGGGTGGGGGTACCTTTCAGCTAAAGAGGGGTCAGGGGGCCTCCGCCGGAAACTGTTTATTGGAATATGCTCATTTTAACAATTATGAGACCTAAAAATTATTTTAAATTTACCTTCACTTTTGTAATTTAATTCAAACTCTGAGACATATCATAAACGAAAACAATAATTTTGCAGTGAATATGGCAGGGACTCTGTCTTTTAAGCAGGGTGGGTCTTTGTAAAGTTGGTATAGCTCTTGGTTTGTAAGGATCCTCCAGACATCATTTTCTATCACTGGGCCATATATTCTTTGGGGATTTTCCTCTCCGATGTATTGAGCAGGTTCTCTGCTTTTCTGGTAAGGTACCAAGTCTCACAAGCTTAAATACTACTGGTCTTATGATAGTGGTGCATATTGTCTTCTTTGTTCCCCTTGAGAGGTTTTTGCTTCCCAGTAGCTTTCGTGGGCTGAAATAGGAACAGTTGGCTGCTGTTATCCTTTCTTTCACCTCCGACATTATTTCATTGTGCTCGTTTATAGTCGCCCCTAGACATTTCAATGTAACCACTCTCTCAAATGTATGGTTTTTTATATTGATGTCGTCATCAGCGTGTTTGTTTCGTGACATTATCATATATTTTGTCTTCCCTTCATTTAAATCAAGACCAGCCTCGACTGAGGCATTTTCAAGTTCCCACTCCAAGGACTAGGCCTGAACGAGCTTCCACTAGCCGCACAATTCTGTCACACTGTACATCAACTACTTGGCTAATCCCAGGACTAGGCCTGAACTAGCTTCCACTAGCCGTACACTTCTGTCCACTGTACATCAACTACTAGGCTAATCCTAGGACTAGGCCTGAACTAGCTTCCACTAGCCGCACAATTCTGTCCACTGTACATCAACTACTTGGCTAATCCCAGGACTAGGCCTGAACTAGCTTCCACTAGCCGCACAATTCTGTCCACTGTACATCAACTACTTGGCTAATCCCAGGACTAGGCCTGAACTAGCTTCCACTAGCCGTACACTTCTGTCCACAGTACATCAACTATTTGGCTAATCCCAGGACTAGGCCTGAAATAAGCTTCCACTAGCCGTACACTTCTGTCCACAGTACATCAACTACTAGGCTAATCCCAGGACTAGGCCTGAACTAGCTTCCACTAGCCGTACACTTCTGTCCACTGTACATCAACTACTAGGCTACGCCCAGGACTTGGCCTGAAAAAAATGTGAGCTCTTGTGTACTGACTCTCAACTCAAAATCAACTCCAAGTCAACCCACCCTCCTTCAAAACACTTCTTTATAATGCTTTCCCTTTCAACCACATCCCTATTAACTACATCTCTATCAACCACATCACTATTACCACATCACTATCAACCCCGTCAATATCAACCACATCACCATCAACCACATCACTATCAACCACATCACTATCAACCAGATCACTATTAACCACATCACTATCAACCAAATCCCTATCAACACATCACCATCAACCACATCACTATCAACACATCACCATCAACCACATCACTATCAACACATCACTATCAACACATCACTATCAACCACATCACTATCAACCACATCACTATCAACCACATGAATATCAACCACATCACTATCAACCACATAACTATCAACCACATAACTATCAACCATATAACTATCAACCACATCGTTATCAACCACATCGCTATCAACCACATAACTATCAACCACAAAACTATCAACAACATCACCATCAACCACATCGCTATCAACCACATCGCTATCAACCACATCGCTATCAACCTCATCGCTATCAACCTCATCGCTATCAACTACATCACTATCAACCACATCACTTACATCCACATCACTATCAACCACATCACTATCAACCTCATCGCTATCAACTACATCACTATCAACCACGTCACGTACAACCACATCACGTACAACCACATCAATATCCTCAACACTCACAACGCACGGTGACAACCATTTCAAACCAACTCAGGGATTCTCATACCCTTGACAGCTGCCCCATCCTCCATATCCCTTATCTGATACACATTTCCCTTTCTTGCCTTTGAATCTCCCCCACCCCCCCTTTTCTGTACCTACTTACCTAGTTTGAAATTCACCTCTAACTCAACCCCAATACGCATACAATTAAATCACAAACTCTTCCTCAACTGTCCTCCTTGCTCGCTGCTACCTCAGCCTCAAATGTCTTCTTTGCTTGATGCTACCTCTGCCTCAAATGTCCTCCCGGCTCGTTGCTACATCCTTAAACTTACCTCCTGGTCAAATACAAGGTTGCCTTTGTCAAATTGGCACAAACTTCCTATCACCAAATTTGTATTGTCTATTTCTTATCAATGTATCCTTTTCTATTGTACTTCTCCTCTTCCCACGATGCAGACTTTCGGTCGATACCTTCGTTGCGTTTGTTATTTTTCTCACGCTCTCCCATAGCGGCGTGTGTTACATAATTCGGGAAAGGCTATGGCAATGTCATTTATCATTACCTCAAGCTGCTCTAATGCTCTCAGTTTTTGCCTCATGTGTCATGCTCTAAATTCAGGCTAGGATCATTTTTAAGGCATTTCATGGGTCTTCCAGCTCCTCAAGTCTTTCGTGATTGTACAAAGCAACATCGAATACTGTAAAATGTCGGGTTTTATTGTCATTGGTCAGGTCAGCCTGGAAAATTGTGTAAAACTTTCGGAAATGTTGAGATTTTCTTTGTGTGGCGGAGAACTAACTTACCCACATATTCTGGCGAGGGTCTGAGATTACTCTCTTATGACCCCGGCTAGTACATTAGCTACCAGCTTCATCTGATGAGCTGAGCCATACAACATTTTCCTCAAGTTGGGCTCTCCAACCACTCTGGCTTCCCCCGGAACATCTAGTGAGTGACAGCGATCAATAGGTGCGCTAATGTCTCCGGGACCAGACTGCAATGCAGGCAGGAAGGGTCCCTTTTGTGATCTAGCCTCCAGAAGTATGTGCCTATGGGGCAGTACTCTGCGCATCTGCGCCACGAGACTCTGCTGTCTGCAGTCTAACCCCCACCATGGGTCTTGTTTGATAGGAGAAGGCAAATTTCAAAAGACGCCTCTCACGGTCGTGTCGTCTGCCCAGAGCCTCTACCACTTCGTCCTGAAATGGTCTGCCAGCCAGTTCTTAATTACCAAATAGGTAATTGGTACTTCTGGCTGAGGCTGGACAGCCCCGGTTTTCGCCAGAATGTTCGGTTTCTCATGGCCACTGACGTTGACGTGACCTGGGATCCACTGCACTGTCACCCGGCCTCCTAGTTCACCGCTCTTGCACACGTCATCAATGATGGCGTCAACTAGATGAGTGGTACCTGATCTCTTTCCCAAGATCTCGAGAGCAGATTGTGGCGGAGAACGAACTGCCTCTTTTATTAACTGTGATTTATTGTTTTTAATTCATTTCTTTAAAATGTTGCATCATGAAGCAACACCCCCCCCCAAACACCACTTTCTCCATTTTCAACCCCCCAAGTTACGCCACCGGGCTGAGTATTAATAGGCTAAACCCGTTTGTTGTTATTTCAGAAAAGACGATTTGTCGGTGAGAAGACGGGTCAATGCCTGCAGGCCGACACCAGGACCAGGTCTGTCATACTGACCCAGTGCTCCACACAAGCAGAGACGCAGAAGTGGAGCTTCACTACGAGAATACAAAGGCAAAAGATGATGAGACACAAGGGCGTATCTATAGACTGGGGGGTATAAGTCTGAGAGGATTAATTTTTTATTTATTGTATTATTTAGTGTTGTGATGTTTTTGGCCCCGGGGTGTGGTTTGGGGGGGGGGGTAGCCTGTGAGATGAATTTGGTGGAAGATCACGGTCTGTGATGTTTTGTTTTGTTACATATTTGGTTTTTTTTAGTGTTAAAAATGCGGGTAACATTATGTGGTCCAATTGTGTGGTCCCATTGTGTGATCCGACTGTGCGGTCCAACTGTGTGGTCTGACTGTGCGGTCCCACTTTGTGGTCTCACTGTGCGGTCCGACTATGTGGTCTCACTGTACGAACCGACTGTGTGGTCCGATTGTGTGATCGGACTGTGCGGTCCGACTGTGTCGTCCGGCTGTGAGATCCAACTGTGCAGTACAAATGTTCCGTTCTTCTGTGTGGTCCAGGCCCAACTCTGCGGTTTAACTCTGCGGTCTAGCTGTGTTGTCCAAATCTGCGGTTCAACTGTGTGATCTGAAGGTTTATGGGTGAGCCTTTTAGAGTGGGGCACACTACTGCTTCGCCCCATTAGGGTGCCAAGACAAGTTGGTGCAAATTCTGTCGAATCGGCAAACGCGCATTTACTCGGTGATGAGATTCAGCCGGTTTCCTCTGCATGAATGTGTGAACCATCTTTCGGTGTATCGCATGTCCAATATAATGAAACGGTCCTTAGGGCGGCCAACCTGACGAACGAAACGGTCCTTAGGGCGGCCAACCTGCCGTTCAACTATTTGAATCCCCCAAATAAAGCACTACTAAATAACTGACTGTATAATTCGTGGCTTTTGCAACAAAACAAGGCAAACTTCACACTAATCATACTCCTTGCAGCCTTAGATAATTATTGCTGACCACTTGATAGTCTACACATGTCGTGTATTTGTTGACGTGAGTGAACTACTCTTGGAATATTTCAACTTTTTTTTTTTTTCTAATGTGAGGGACTTTTTATTTTTGTCCCACGAGAATTTTAAAAAAAAATGGATGTGTTGCCTGACTTAAAATGAGATCACGTGATTGTGAACTATAAATAAACTCGTCTATTATTATCTCTTTTTACGGAGTTATTTTGCATTGCACAACCTTCCACCAACATAAAGAAATATCTGTGTGAATTAAACATGGTGAATTCTGAGTGGGTTCCCCCCCCTCCCCCTCCCCCCCCCCAACTTCCCCAATTTTCCCTCGAAAAGAGCTACAAACTTCTATCAAAGCTGCAAACAAAAAAATGTATTTATATTTAAACGAAACAAAATTTTCAACAGCAAGAAAGAAAAGTCTGGGTCAGAGAGGTTTTTTTTTTTTTTTTAAACACATAAACACGAACATTTTAAAAAAATGGAATTGACAAAAGAAACAAAGCTATGATACATTGTGAGATCCGAGAAAATTGGAATCTATGTTTTCTCCTGAAAAGGAAAAAAAAATGCAATAGAAGACATATTGCCGATCATACAACTGCACCAAAAAATAAAACTCAAAGGTTGAAATCAGGACATGTATACGGCACGGCTAAACAGAGAACAACAGGATGAGTCATGCGTCAGGAGAAAGTTGGTCACATGATGATCAATAAAAGTATTGGAATACATGCAACGTGCGTCATGTAGAATCGATTTTTAATTATTTATTTTTTTATTCTGAGAGTAAGATATTTATTGATGTTTAAGTTTTCAAAACGAATCGAATCGAGAATGCACGCGAACATTAGAAAGTATTTTTAATCACTAGAGTTTTGTATGTTTTTTTCATTCAACAATCCCCAATCAAAGAGGTCGGATCTTGAAACTAGCAATGACGTTTGAGAATTTTCACTTTTCCAGCGTTGAACGTGCGCTAAAATGAGTTTATAAATTATGAATAAGCGCCGAAATCTGCTAAAAAAATTAACAAGACTGCTGAAATTATTTATTTCCTCCAGAAGAGAGACATGCAAAAGAAGAAGAAAAAAAATGGAAAATAAAGAACAAAGCCGGAGTTTAAAACACGTGCAAGCTCAGCTCTTGACGGTAATTATTTAGGTTCAGTTAGACACATATAAACCTTAAAAAACGTGCTGGGTGGGCTTTGGCTTTTGTTTATTCATAAATGTATCTTTGGGACAACATCAAACGTGTATAGTACAGATTTAAGTAGCGAGACCGCGGCGATCGCACCTGTTTTGTGCAAGTGGGAAGATACCAAGGTTGCGCACCCGGCGTGCACGTTTTTTTTTGGGGGGGGGGCACACTGGGGCGCAACCGTTTTGATTCATACTTAACAGCATAGTGACGGGCTGATATCACAGTAAAGTGAACAACAGAAATAATAAGAAAAATCATTATATACATCAGGAAATAAATTAAATTAAATTAAATTGTAAACAAGACGGGAAGAACAACGGAAGAAAACAATCCATGATAAGAAGAAGGCCATTTCTTATGGCCAGAATCAAAACTTTATAAAAAAAAAACAGAAGAAGAAAAAAAAGTATATGATTTTTATAACAGTTGTCCGAGATTTTTTATTATTCTGTAACAACAAGGAATTTTTCAAAAAAAAATTAAATTAAATTTACTCATTTTGTAAACGTGTTGACTTCAAAAATTGGCTGATCAAACGATTATTTTTAGCTGTGGAAACCTAATTGTCCGAAACTAAATGATAAGAGTTATTGAATTATGTTATCAAATATCAAAGATGTGGCTTTTAAAATAAAAAAAATATAAAAAAACAGATTTTCAACAAAGCTAATGAATGCCTACTAAATATATTAGTCTATCTACAAATGATTTTTTTTATATATATAATTTTTTTTTTCGTGTTGAGCGAAGAAATTAAATAAATGTTCTCGGCTGTTGCAACATGGCAATAACGAAAAATCTGGACAACACAAAGTAAATGCTATCTCATTGTGGCAATAATCATCTCTTCACCATGACAACAGGCAACAAGATACAACAATGGTTTTAAAAAAAAAAAATCTTAAACTAGCGTGGAAAACTTTGATATGATAAAAATTTACAGTTATGTCAACAATTTTATTTCGTCTTTTTCATTTAATATTTCTTCTTTAATATATTTTTTTGTTGTAACTGCAATATAAATATCGTTTGCTTGCCTAATTTTTATAATTAAAATGAATAATGTATGATCATTTAAATATATCTTACTTAAATTTAAAAGTTTATTTAAAAGTAGGGTTGTATATAAATTGCTCAAAACAAATTTGTATATAAACTCACAACCTTCACATAAATTTAAACAATAATTTTGTATAGATCTATATATGTAAACAAGTATGTTCGAAATAAACACTAAGATTTCTTTGTATCTACCGCTTGTTACAAACACAGCCAATATTTTACTATTATACGTGAAGGAAAAAAAATGTATTATTCTTTTCATTTAAATTTAATGACATCATGAGAAGTTCCAATTCTTCTTTATGCCAATGTTTAAAACATGTGCTTCTCTAAGAACGCATAAGTTTTCCCACTACGAAACCTCAACATCGCCTCGTTTAGCTACAAAAATTAAGACAAAAACTAACCCCCCCCCCCCCCCCAAAAAAAAAAAAAAAAACCAAGTATCCTTATACTAAGTGTTAAAACTTGATCAACAATATTTCAATAGACAAATAAAACATTTAATGGTGGTTGAGGCGCCAATTGTGCATGGCGTTTTTGGCCAAGAGTGGGTCTTTCTTGGCAGCGATGTCCATCTGTTCACCTTGTAGGAATGGGTTGCCGTGGTCGGACATCTCAGACTGCAACAATAAAATAATACTCTCAAACCCGAGAATGCTCGGCACTAAACATTTTTTTAAAGCATTATCAGTGGCGTATTCTGTTGATTTAATTATGGTAAGCAAATTAATTGAACGGAAATTTTATTGAGTTTTGTATTTTATTTTTATTTTTTATTTTTTTAAATTTTATTTTATTTTTTATTTTTTATTTATTTATTTTATTTTTTTTTTGTTGCTTTTTTCAACATATAAATTTATAAACTTTATTTTTTAAATTTAAATTCCTTGTAAAGTGTGCCAGATTGAAACTCTAAATTCCTTGTAAAGTGTGCCAGATTGAAACTCTAAATATGTAATGCAGAATTCGTAAGAGTAGGAACCTTTGTATTAAATTTTGTATTAACATGTGTCGCCTGTCTAAACTGTTGGGGTTGTTGTTGTTTTTTTTTAAATTATAAAACGTTAGTTGTCCAGAACGTACATTACGTTTGATCAATGATCCTTACGTTGAGCAAAAATATTCGCTTTTTTTTTTCAAATAGAAATTTAACAAAATGAGTTTAAATGACGAATCTTTTTTTTTAATTTTTTATTAATTTTTTACAAAAGTCTAAATAGGTTGAAGATCGTCTTCAGTGGTTATAGACTCTCTTGTCTTTAAATTAGTATACCACTGAGACTTAATTTTGTCAGTTTTGAATCACCTCTCAATTCAGCCCACTTTGTTGTGAATCTACCAAAGATTGCATTACAAAAACACCCGCGGGATATTATCTTCGCATTCTAGCAAAGCGCTTCTGAAAAATTCCTTTCCTATAACCCTATGAAAGGTTTATTTGTAATTTTTTTACAAACTTTTACCAACAATTCTAAAAATCTCCGTTGCGCATTTTTTCCCCCTTCATTTTCTTTACTTGTAATTTATGCACAGCTTGTACATACTAGCGTACAGAAACGTCATAAAGCTGATATTCAATACGACGCCATTTTTACGACGACCCCTCTGCCACTTTCCTCGTATTTCACTTTGTGAAAATAATATTTAAACATTACAATCTCAAGACCCCCCCCACCCACCCCCCTCCACTCCGAATCCAATTTTAGCTTTACATTCCAAGAGCTTGTCGAGCACCCCCTTAGGGAATTCTGATGTTGCTGTTCCATAGATTGCCTCCCCTTCGCGAGATTTGTTGCTGAGGAACCAAGACTGACGTGACAGACCGGTCGCGCCCCCCCTCCCACCCCCCACCCCCATCTCCTTAAACATCTAAGAACGTCAAAGTTTGCCAACACGAATGCTCAATAGTGTGATTTTTTTTTTATTTGCTTGCGCGTGTGGGTTGGGGGGGGGGATTTTGCTAACGCTAGTGTATATTGGTACGATTACATCCACTGCATATTTACTTATCATTGTTATTCTGTTATTCTTATCACGATAGTTGGTTTTCTTCATTAAAATAAGAATAACTCAAGGATACTATGGTTGAGGAGCTATAGATGTTGAGGAGCGAAAACCTGTCAGGGGGGGGGGGGAGATAACGAGGAATCATGGTGGGGTTTTGGATAGAAAGTGGATTTTGAAGTGAAGGGTGGAATGGTCCGACACATGATCGGGGTTGATTCTATGATGGTGATGTCCAAGTCAGTATGATGCGAGGTGACAATGGTGCTCCTAAGTGCTGAATTTTACGAATATGTTGGTACTATCAATATTTTTCATAGTTATTTTTTTTTTTTTGCTATGAAAAATTCAGAGCGTTTCTTTAAGCAGTCCACCAATAACTGATTGGTTTAACGGACACACCCGCTGTTTATCCTTCAGGAATCGATTCATATTTTAAGGGTAACATTTATTTGCATAAATACGGTAGGTCAGGAAGTCTAACTTCGGTAACGCCAACTTAGAAGTGCTGTTTACTATTAGTGCATGCACATGTAGCAGTAGTAGTAGTAGTAGTACTAGTAGTAGTAGTAAGCTGAACTTACTCGTTTTTTAATAGCGTGCGGCGACTTCTTGGCAACCAGGGTCAACCTCTTTCTGCTGGATGACAGATTAGGGTTGTTCTCCTAGTGGAATACAGGGAAGATGTTTAAATTGTGGGTGTTTTCTAACAGCTCTTCGTGGATGTTCGCCATTACTGGCAAAGATTTTTTAAGTTTGTTTGTTCTTCTTTACAACCAAAACTGGTAGTGCTTACAATCTTTTTCTGTTTTATATTTGTATTTGATAAACGCCATAGCCAGAACTATCATTGTATGGGTCTTTATGAAGTTCTGATCTCCTATGAGTATAGTTAGTAGCGTCCT